GGGTAACTGCTGAAATTCAAATAATTTTTTTAGAGAGTTTTCATCACATAGCACTTTAAAAATGAGAGAAGTCATATCTATTCACGTAGGATAAGGAGGTATTTAAGTTGGTAATGCCTGTTGGGAATTATTCTGTCTTGAACACGGAATCCAACCAGATGGTTAAATGCCATCAGACAAGACAATCGGAGGAGGAGATGATGCCTTCAACACCTTTTTCTCTGAAACTGGTGCAGGAAAGCACGTCCCAAGAGCTGTCTTTTTGGATTTGGAACCAACAGTTATTGATGAAGTCAGAACAGGAACATACAGATAATTATTCCACCCAGAATAATTGATTTCAGGAAAAGAAGATGCTGCCAACAACTTCGCCAGAGGTCACTACACCATCGGAAAGGAAATTGTCGATTTGTGCTTAGACAGAATCAGAAAGTTAGCTGATAACTGCACAGGTCTCTAAGGTTTCTTGGTCTTCCACTCAGTCGGAGGAGGAACAGGATCAGGATTAGGATCACTTTTATTGGAAAGATTGTCAGTCGATTATGGTAAGAAATCTAAATTGGGTTTCACCATCTATCCATCACCATAAGTTTCAACAGCCGTCGTTGAACCATACAACTCCATCTTGTCAACCCACTCATTGTTGGAACACACTGATGTCTGTGTCATGTTGGATAATGAAGCCATTTATGATATTTGCAGAAGAAATTTGGATATTGAAAGACCAACATACACAAACTTGAACAGATTGATTGCTTAAGTCATTTCATCATTGACAGCTTCATTGAGATTTGATGGTGCCTTGAATGTCGATATCACTGAATTCTAAACCAATTTGGTGCCATATCCAAGAATCCACTTTATGCTTTGCTCATATGCTCCAATCATCTCAGCTGAAAAGGCCTATCACGAATAATTATCAGTTGCTGAAATCACAAACTCAGCCTTTGAACCAGCCAACATGATGGCTAAGTGTGATCCAAGACATGGTAAATACATGGCTTGCTCCATGCTTTACAGAGGTGATGTCGTCCCCAAGGATGTCAATGCTGCTATTGCCACCATCAAGACAAAGAGAACTATCTAATTCGTCGATTGGTGCCCAACAGGATTCAAGGTCGGAATCAACTATCAACCACCAACAGTCGTCCCAGGAGGTGATTTGGCTAAGGTTATGAGAGCTGTTTGTATGATCTCCAACTCAACTGCTATTGCTGAAGTTTTCTCCAGACTTGATCATAAATTCGATCTTATGTATGCCAAGAGAGCCTTCGTCCACTGGTATGTCGGTGAAGGTATGGAAGAAGGAGAATTTTCTGAAGCCAGAGAAGATCTTGCTGCCTTAGAAAAGGATTATGAAGAAGTTGGTATTGAAACTGCTGAAGGAGAAGGTGAAGAAGGAGAAGCATGAAAAATCAATATATATACAAATCAAAAATTATTAAAACATTTCACAATATTATTTATTCTAACTAATAAAAAGAAATACAATAATTTCATTTTTATTTAGCAATTATATTATTGATAACATTATTATTCTAATAATAATTAATTATTATTTCTATATAGATTAGTGAGCATTAATAAAAATTTAATGAAATATCTATTGAAATTATGATAAAAAAGTAATACTAATTCTAAAGTTAGTTAGAAATAATTATGAGAATCTGCAGAAGCTGCTGCTTTTAATGTAATATTATTTAATCCATTTTATTTTAATGGAAATAGTTTATAAATATAGGATAGTCTAAATTATGGATTTAATAAAATAATAAAAAGTAAAACGTATAAATAGATTAGATCTTAATTTAATGAATTAAATCTTCACGATAATGAATAATTAAGTAATATATAATTTATAATCACTATCTATATAAATAAAAACCAATTTGAAATCTTCAAAGCTAACTTTTTTGATTTTCAATTTCTAAATGAAATTCTTAAGGTAATTTTAAAAGAACTCTTGAAAAATGATTCTTCTTCAATGGTTGATTTGGTTATGAATACATCTTTTCTCTTGGATTGGTTTACCTATTTTTATTTGATGTTAATTCCAATTATTCTTTTTTTTCTTCATTTAAATTAATTTATTTTCCAAAACTCATGTTATATAAATTTAGCAAGTCATTTCTTTAATTTTCATTTTAAACTATCTATATATCTTATCTCTACTCTAAAAATGGTTCTGGTGTCTTAATTAGAGGCAGTCGAATATCAGTATCCATCTTATTTCTAGCATCAGCTGATTTTGGAATCTATTAAAATATCGATTAAGATTTAGGTGATTGCATTTTCTTTATTTTTTAGGTTCCATTACATGCTCCTAATAGTCTATTTATTAGTTATTGCTTTTCTTTATTTTCTTGAACTAATTCTTCATTTTTCTTCTATAAATATTCAATCATTTCGTTTTATTCTTTTGGAGAAAGCATTCTTGAATTTTTCTTATTCCCATTATCTAAATGATTTGGGCATTCCTATTCAATTGTTTGAAAGTTCTTAGGACTTCTATAAGATTGTATGCTCTCTTAAACCTTATGAAACAGTTTCTAAAGAATAATGAATTATTTTACTTAATCATCAGTTATCACAAGTAAGTTTTTAACTTTTATCTATTTTCTTTATATTCCATCAACATGGTGTGAAAATTATCGGGTTTCTTTTTGAGGCATATAAGATTTTAACCCTAATTTATTTGTTCTTGCACTCAACACATGAATTTTGTTATAGTTATCTTGTAATTATGCCAAGTTTGAATTGGTTTGAGAACTTTTCATCAACTTAATAAATCTTTGTTAAATTAATTATTAATTGAAAGTAAAGCAGACTCTTTATAAAGTGTTAATTAAATCATACTTACTGATATCAACTACATATATTTAATTGATTAAGTGAAATTTTGATTTCTAACTACAAACAAATACTTATAATATATTTATGAGGGAAATATTTTAAACAAAGTATTTAAATTCAATCAGAATTTCATTATAACAAGTACCTATCACGATCTTATTCGATAGATTACAATATATCGATTATAATAATCATTTTAAAAGATATTCAATCATCTTATTGAAGATGTAATTATTTCTTATTTGTTTAATATTTAGAAATATTTAAAAACTCTTCATTACGACATAACGATATGATTTCAACCTATTTATAGATTATACTAAAGTTAACATTAAGATAAAAACAATATTTTAGTAACAATATTACCAACCTTGATTTGCCTAAATGATTAGACTCATATATATATTTCCTTTATCTTTTTGATTTATATTGATATATCAAATTTAAGATGAAAACTATATTNAAATGATTCTTCTTCAATGGTTGATTTGGTTATGAATACATCTTTTCTCTTGGATTGGTTTACCTATTTTTATTTGATGTTAATTCCAATTATTCTTTTTTTTCTTCATTTAAATTAATTTATTTTCCAAAACTCATGTTATATAAATTTAGCAAGTCATTTCTTTAATTTTCATTTTAAACTATCTATATATCTTATCTCTACTCTAAAAATGGTTCTGGTGTCTTAATTAGAGGCAGTCGAATATCAGTATCCATCTTATTTCTAGCATCAGCTGATTTTGGAATCTATTAAAATATCGATTAAGATTTAGGTGATTGCATTTTCTTTATTTTTTAGGTTCCATTACATGCTCCTAATAGTCTATTTATTAGTTATTGCTTTTCTTTATTTTCTTGAACTAATTCTTCATTTTTCTTCTATAAATATTCAATCATTTCGTTTTATTCTTTTGGAGAAAGCATTCTTGAATTTTTCTTATTCCCATTATCTAAATGATTTGGGCATTCCTATTCAATTGTTTGAAAGTTCTTAGGACTTCTATAAGATTGTATGCTCTCTTAAACCTTATGAAACAGTTTCTAAAGAATAATGAATTATTTTACTTAATCATCAGTTATCACAAGTAAGTTTTTAACTTTTATCTATTTTCTTTATATTCCATCAACATGGTGTGAAAATTATCGGGTTTCTTTTTGAGGCATATAAGATTTTAACCCTAATTTATTTGTTCTTGCACTCAACACATGAATTTTGTTATAGTTATCTTGTAATTATGCCAAGTTTGAATTGGTTTGAGAACTTTTCATCAACTTAATAAATCTTTGTTAAATTAATTATTAATTGAAAGTAAAGCAGACTCTTTATAAAGTGTTAATTAAATCATACTTACTGATATCAACTACATATATTTAATTGATTAAGTGAAATTTTGATTTCTAACTACAAACAAATACTTATAATATATTTATGAGGGAAATATTTTAAACAAAGTATTTAAATTCAATCAGAATTTCATTATAACAAGTACCTATCACGATCTTATTCGATAGATTACAATATATCGATTATAATAATCATTTTAAAAGATATTCAATCATCTTATTGAAGATGTAATTATTTCTTATTTGTTTAATATTTAGAAATATTTAAAAACTCTTCATTACGACATAACGATATGATTTCAACCTATTTATAGATTATACTAAAGTTAACATTAAGATAAAAACAATATTTTAGTAACAATATTACCAACCTTGATTTGCCTAAATGATTAGACTCATATATATATTTCCTTTATCTTTTTGATTTATATTGATATATCAAATTTAAGATGAAAACTATATTATTACATTAAATTTAATAGTATGAATTAAGATAATATTTCTTTAGAATTAATAAAAAGTCTAAATAAACATAAAATTAGATTAAATAATATTGATTAATTCTTTTAAATCTATTAATTTCAATAGAATGTTACTAATAATGTTTTATAACTTTTATAAACAAAGATATAAATATGATCTTTAGATTAAAAATAATTCATTTAATGTATTAATAAATTAGAACAGAAAATTTACATATTAATTTTATGTTATAGTTAATTAATTTGATAAAATTGAGACAATAACAGCTATGTGAACATTAACCTTATGATCCAAAAATTGATAAGGAACGTATAAATTAAGAGAATTAATTACTTTAAATCTTATATCGTTTCTAAAGAGTTCATATTGATGAAAAGTAAGAGAAATTATGATTTAATTTAATCAGATTGAATTTCTATGAACAATCAGCTCAACTAATGAATAAACCTATTCAACCTCTACTTCCTATACAAGTATATGATTTTATTGCAAAACTTTATATGGAATTTTTTTAAGAAAATCAATTTTAAGATAAAGCCTAGAAAATCTAATTAATCTTGGAGAATGAGATGCATAAAAATTAATCATTTATTATACTTATGATTAAGTGGCTACTAGAGTATTATAGATATTAAGTCAAAGCTAAGGAGCCTCAAATAAAACCTGTTTAAATAATGAGAAGAAAACTATTAATGACAATAGATTAAAATAAATTAGAAGTGAAAAAGTCTTCAGAGTCACAAACTAAAAGAATAAGAATGCTTAATTTATCGAAAACTCCAGAAAATGATTATAATACTTTGTCTTCATCTAATTAATAATCAACCTTAAGAAGAAACAAAATAAATTAAAGACAGTTATACAATGTAATACCAGATTTAGATTGGGAAATACCATGGGATCGATCATATAAATTGTTATACAATAAAAACAATAGAATATCTAGATCTATATAAAAGCATTTCAACTGAAAATCAATAATAATTACTCATTTATTATATATATATATAAAATATTATCGAATTATTTATTCTATGTAAAATTTTAATGATTAAAAATTAAGAATGTTCATATAATTAATATAAAAGTGGTTTAATAATGTGTAAATAAAATAGTTAATCGAATTTTTTATATATATAATCACAAAATAATTAGTACTTCTATCAAGAACTTAAAAATTAATCTTCTTCATCTGGAAAATGATCCTGTTCTAATTTATGTACTAGAAATCCTTCAATCTATCTTTAAATAGTTTTAAGGTCAATTGTTTTATGCAATTCAAAATTAAATAGATCATCATAATCTTATTCTAAATATGCTTTTGTTTCTTAACTAACATGCACAAAACCTTTAACTCCATTAGATTCCATTTTATTTGCAATTAACACATCTGGTCCATAGATATCATATCTTACAATATCTGTACCCATAACTCCTCCAAAAACAGATCCTGTATGTATTCCTATTCTCATATTTAATCCATCAAAATTAATTTGTTTTCTCACTTAAGCTATTATTTTAATCATCTCAAAAGCTAAATCTACTATGTTTTTTGCTTCTTAATGAGGATTTCTATTATTATAATCAATCATTCCAATTGCAACATAACAATCTCCTATTGTATATAATTTATAGACATTCAATTCACAACATTTTCTATCAAATTCAACAAAAAGATTTTTTAACATAACTAAAACATCTTCTGGATTTACTTTACTTGAATATTCAGTAAAACCAGCAATATCAGCAAATAAGATTGTTAATTTATCTAATTTATCACAAATTCCTATATTATTTATTTTATCATCTAAAAACTTATTTAAAATATGTTTTGGCAATAAATATTAAAGTAATTATGATTCTTTTTATTATTGAGTTTTAAATATATTTTTTTAATTAAAACAACTTACTTATTATTATTCAATAAATAATATCAAAGTTAAATTATACATAGAACTTACAAAAAAGAAAAATATACTAATTAATTAAGTTCCATCAATTATAATGATTATTATTGAGTAAAAGTAAGTGAAAAAACAAAATAATACTTTTACCCAAAAACTAAGTATTTAAATACTACAAAATATACATTATATGAAAACTATCTCATATACATGAACATTTTTTAATTCATCATTATCTTCTAATACTATAACTATTCCAGCTAATATTACTTAAAAAAATAATAAGATTTTTATTAATATTTTCCATTTCTCAAAATTAGGTTTTCTATTAATTAAAAATTGAATTAAGTTCATTATACAACATAACCATTATAAAACAATAAGGCCAATATTGTAATCATTATAGAATTATATCTAACAAAATTATTTTATCATATAATATAAAGCATATAACCTTAAATTATAAATTGTTTGACTCTTAGATTAAATTTTCACAAATTCCATATACTAATCATAACTTATAAACTAATTCATTTATTTCTTATAATAAGATATCTCTAATAACTAAAGGAATGAAGTTTCTTTTATTAAGTTATGTTCTAAAGTATATTCATTCTTTAATAAAATTACATTCTCTAATTAATTATATAGACAATACCAATAATTATTCATAATCTATCATCTCATCAATTTCTGGTTCATAATTTTCTAATTAAAATCTGTTCTAGAACATAGTTATTAATCTTTTAAATGTACTTGGCTATTACAATGATTATTGTTTTTTTTGTTTATCCTCAGAACTTTGTTTTTATATTAATTATAAAGACTCTTATAAATTCTCATCTTATGATGAATAAAAGGCAGGATCAGTAGGTTTGATACCAAAAACATTATGAGTACCATTATCTTAAATTGATTCCCTTTTTTGATTCATTGTATCAATATAAGTTAAAATTGTCTTTCTCTTTTTTAAGTTTTTTTTCAATAATTCTGGATTCTTTCTAACTACATAATTGCTTCTTGCATCTTTACTTTACAAATCCTATTCATATTATATGGAGTGATTATTATCTTTATTTTACATCTTACATTTAAATATATAAGTTGGTCTAATACCCAATCCTTTCATTTCTACATTTCTTATTTCAAATTCAATATTCTCATTTTTAATTTAATCAAATGCTTATTCTGATAATGTTATAGTATCCTCTAATCCTGTAGAACATACTCTACTAGTTGTATTTACAGTATCTCCAATTAAAGAGAATTATGGTTTATGATAACCTATGACTCCACTAATGGCACCTCCATAATGGATTCCAATCTTTCCAATTAATTATTATCCTTAAGTACCCCACCTAAATGATATATTTAAATTGATTACTATTTTGATCTAATGTAATTCATCATTTATTCAGCTAAATTTAATGCTCTTTAAACAGGATCAACTTATGACAAATATGTTAATTCTTATTCACATGCCTTCAATCCAGCTGATGCCAAATAAGTTTTTCCAACTGTTTCTATTTTTTACACTCCATAGATTTAACAATATTTATCAAAAGTTCTAAAGATATCATCTAAAAATGGAATAATTTTATCCTTTTCTTCTATGACCATTTAATCAAAATTACAAATATCACAAAATACTATTGCTACTAAGCCTTAGTTTTAATGAATATTGTACTAATCAGCTATAATTATTAATTTAACTTAAAATACTTTCATTTAATCTATCTCTTATAAATTTTGGTAATAAAATTCCAAGTATATCATTAATTTTATTATTTTACTCAATAAAATTTAATTTGTTTTAAGCCTAATCTTCTTCTAATTATATATACTAATTTTTATAATGATATATATTATTACATAACTCTTTATAAAATATTGAGATGCTGAAAATATGATTATAAATTGCAATATTTAAATTAAAAAAGAAACATTTGATTCATTTTCTATAATATACCATATTATGTAACCAATAATTATTATTAAAGCTGAACCTAAATAAGTTCTATAATCATAAATAGGATGAAATTTTATGGATAATTTATAAGTAATAAAATATTACATAACCAAAGCAGAACCAATATGTTCTTAAGTGTTTTATGTAAATAAAATTGATATTGTTGCAGCTGTTGCAATAATAAATTTAGCATATTCTAAATAATGTTATTTATTTGTAGGTAATTGAATAAATGTAAACACAATAAACACAATAGCTTAAAGACCAAAAACTATTAAATAATCTACTAAAAAATAATTATTTTTATCCTAATAGAAATACATTATTAACAAAAATGTACAATGATAAAATAACAATTAAAGACATTATACTATTTATTTTTATTTCCATTATAAAATAGTCTATGCCTTATGAAATATTTATTAAGTCCATTATCCAAATCTACTTTAATAATTAGGTTCATTAAGTAATACTAATAGTAATAAATAAATATATACATTTTTGTATGCTCAAATCCACTTACTCAATATTATCAAAAAGATCATTTACTTTATTCTATAAAATAGTTACAGTTTTCTTTTTTTAAGCTGGAGCACTAATTAAATGTATATAATTTAAATATGATAAAAATTCATCTTCACTTGTAGGTAGATTATTTAAACTATAATTTTATAGATAATCAGATAAAATATTTGTAATTAATAAAAATGATACTCCTAAAATAATAGAAAAGACTTCTTATGTGCTTATTTAATTTTGCCATTCTTTATTTTCTAAAGAATCTATTAATGTGTAGATATAAAATAGAATAGTAAAAATACATGAAGCTAATATTTTAAATTTAAATCCAAAATTTATTATTAAGTAAAGCCAATCACTAATACTTATTGACATAAAAATATATAAGTAAAATTCTTGAGAATAAATGTCATATAGGAATATGCATGAAATCAATATTCCTTATAAAATATTCTTGATTATAATTGTTATTTATATTTCAGTTTCAGATTAATGTTTAGAGTATTTTTAAAGTAAAAGGGATTAATCCTTATTATATAATAATTATTTTGAATCATTAAGAAATTAATAATGTTAAATAACAAATAAAAAGAGTTAATAAATATAAAAATAGAATATTATTTCTACTAAATAATTTTATTAATCTAAAGTATTCCATGTATAAATAATTGATGTAAAAGTAAAATAAGAGATAAATGTTATTGTTTTATAAATAGTTTATTATTATAATGATCTAAACAATATTTTTAATAAAGGACTTTAAAAGAATAGTAATCTATCTAATTCTTTGAAACCTTATATAATTACATCTGTATTAGAATTAATTTACAATTCATTAAAATAACATTTCTCATAAATTAATCTTTATCTCAATGATAAACTTAATTTTTTAAAGAAATTCTTCCTATTTACTTCTCCAAATTTTTAATTTCTAAATAAACTAAATTCTTGTAATTATAATATTTAAAGTTAACATCCATTGATACATCTTAATAAACTTTGATTTTCATAAATTAAATTAATTGTTTTTCCAGATATACACCATAATTCTTAAACAATATTTAATTGATCTTAAGTTGCTTAATATAGAAATAATACTTTAGTAAAATTTAGTAATAATTTTAAATGATTTTTAAAATAAGTATTGTCCATTATTTATTAACATGTTGAATTATTTAATATGACAACAACTTTTTTTGTTCTTGATTTTTCTTCAATATGATCTGTTTCATTAGATTTTTAAACACTTTAATTAGATATTTTGATAAATTAAGAACTATTTATACTAGCATGTGAAAATTAATTAGAAAATTCTTCTAAACATTATTTAAAATATGCTCTTAAATCTTCTTCATTTTATTAATTAAAATGAAATATTAAATCATTTGATTATAATAATTCAGATTAATATAAAATAGATGTAGCTGATATTTATTAATTTTAAGTATAAATAAATAATTAATAATCTGATTTTCTAATATTTTTCATAAAATCTTGACAATCCTATTTTAATTCATAACTTAAACCAAAAATAATATTCAATTTAAGTAATTATTCCATTAAAGTATACAATTAATTTTCTGATATATTACTTTCTGCAGAAGATAAATATACATTAGCTTCATTTTGACTCAAAAAACAATAATAATAATATATATAATGTAAAGAATCTGATTAATGTTTAAGTACCTTATCCTCAATACTTTCATTTTTCCTTACATTAGCTTCTCTCAAAAATAAAATGAATTGATAATCAGCTTCTTAAGATTAATCATCCATTTCAAATAACATATACAATCTTTAATTTTAGATATGTAATTTAGTATTAACCAATTTAAATGAATAAAGTTCTTTATTAATTTATATAATATAATGTTATTATTACCTATAAAATATTATTAAAATATTACTAAACATTATTTACGCAAATAAATTCATAACCCATTTTTTTAGCTAAATTTACTTATTTTTAATCAAGTAAACCAAGAAATTTATTTTTTACTTTCTATTCTTTTTTTTCAGTTATTAATAATTTTGAAAATGCAAGATGATTCATAGCTAATTATAAAAATAAAGGATTTAGATCATTATTAGAATTATTTTGTATCATAGATTTATATAAAGTATTTTCATCAATTAAATATTTATCTTATTTTAATTAATCTTTAGATGATTAATATATTTTTGAACTTTTTTATTAATTTGATTGACGTTAAGCTGTCAAATGATCTCCTATTTCTTAATTTTCAAATATATTTTTGTCATGTTAAATTTACTCTTATAAAATTAATTATTCTTAATTTAAATTTAAATCAGATTTATAATCTTATTAATAATAATGTACACACCTACCTTCAAATGATTTTGGAATTTAATTAATAATACATTCTCTTTAACTAAATAAGATTTCTGAACTTGAACTCTACATATCATAATTTAAGACTTAAGAATTTAATTAATTATTTATTTTATCTAATATATGTATATTATTATTTTACCTTAATCTTATTTATTTATACCCTTTTCTGCAGTTTCTAAAAATTGTAAGAATTTTGATTCTTCAAAATCACAATATTAACTATTATAAATTATACGTTTAAGTTTAAATGATTATTCTATAAATGCTTCAACACTAATAGTTAGATATTATTTTTCTAAATATTTATCAATATGACAAGACATAATTTATTTTTAATCTATTGTACCAATTATTTATAATTAAAATAAACTACAAATATTATAATAAATCTTAAAGAAATGAGGTATCATTAAAATTAAATAAATGCAATTATCCAATATAATTTATGTTATTGATCTCAATTCATATAAATATTCATTTTAATTGAATACTATTATTTATATCTATGATATATATATGTACAAATATTTACAATCATAATTATACAAATTAATAAGTAAAATCCAAAGTATTAATTATTATCAAATCTTAATTATCCTTATAATTTTGTATAACAGAAACAACTATTGCCAACTTTTACAACTATCCCCAAAATCCAAGGTGTAGCCAATAATTTCTCTTAACAGAATATAAAATTTTCATATCCAAGTGTTTTTGATTAAGGATCTTTTTTTAATTAAAAGAATCCTTTTATTTAAGAATTCTATTCATGAAATACTATATTACCAGTCAAAGATTTTTTGAATTAAGCTAATGTTTATGAATCAGCTAAAATAATAAATTCAATTTTTACATCTATTCTATACTACTGGTTTTCTTACAGTATATTATGAATAATCACATAATTATTATTAAACACAAAAATTTTCATCATTACAATGTAATACAATTATATCACAAGGTGCTATTTCATTTCTTTATAATAATATAACATCTCCTATTTTAATTTCTTCAGCATTTTAATATTTAATTAAATTCATTTTATCCTTTTCCATTCTCTTTAATTTCTCATTTAATGGTATTTTTGTTGTTGTTTATACCAAATCTTTTGGAAATATACTTGGAACTTTCATTTTAAATTAAATAATCAATAGATCAGTTTCCATAATTTAAATTTATTGTAATTTTAAAGCCATATCTTTATAAATTAATGGACTCATTTAATTATATTTCTTTATATTTTCAGATGCTTTAATATTTTTGTTACTTTATTGTTATTTATATTAGATTGATTAAAATGGTATTGAATCATTTGCTAAAATAGATTAATAATTTATATTACATAATATTGATCTTGAAATTCCTTTCTTTTGACTCTAAACATATTCAATTTTCTTATTTTATGAATTCTTATCAACTTAAGATTTACTCTTTAATCTTTGATTACTTTCACTTTAATCTTATTAATTTAATCTTTCTTTTATTTTAGAAATGATTTCCTTATTAACAATACATTCATCCCACTACTTAATAATTTTGGCTTCTTATTATTTTATCATTTTATCCATTTTTCGTATTTTTAAACAATTATGTAAATCAACAAACCATTATTGTAAAATTAAAGGAATCATCACAAAATACAAAGGTAAATGAGAAAATGCCTATAATATAAGAAGTAAAAAGTAAAAGATGTTTTCTTTAATTACTCTCCAAGGAAAAAGAATAGTATAATTTATCCTCTAAATTTTATTTTCATTTTCTAAGAATCCATCATATGAAACTGTCTCCCCATTTCTAAATTAAATCTTATTAACTATTTATATAATACTTGATATGTGTATTTTCTCATTTCATTATTATGCCTGTAATTCAGGAATAATTATTTCATTTTAATTTATAACAGAATGTCAATCAATTAAGAACTTAGTTTTGATTTCAAATCTCAAGTCAATTTTGATAACGATTATCAATAATCAAACTATTCTAATTTTGCTGAACAATGGCAAGAGAAAATATCTAGTCTATAATAAAACATATAGGAAATGTAATAATAAAAAGAAGATGTTAAGAATGCATTATTATAAGCATAATCAAGAATTAAAAATAAGAAATCTTATATAGATGAACCTAAAATGCAATAAATTGAAACTAGAACCTTAGAAACAAATCAACCAATTTAAAACACTTCAATTAATCATTTATTAAATGAATCTATTAATACATAAGAATTTCAAACTCCTATCAATTAAATCAATAACATTAAATAATAACCTATAGCAACATTTCTAATGGATATTAGATTAAATGATATTTACCTATAAAATTTTATAGACTTAGGCATTTATGATAATGTAAGTCTTTTGAAATCATTACCTACTTAAAATAAATGTAAATTTTTATTAAATAAATATGGAATTGATAAATTAGGATATTAAAGAAGAATCTTAGCTAAATTAGATGAAGGTATATATATATATTCAATTAATTTTAGAAATGGGTTTATTTTCAAAAAAAGGATTATTATTAAATATTGAATACTGTTAGGAATAAATTCCAAATATTGAAGAATGGTTAAAATCTATTAATTAATCTAAATATTATCCAAATTTTCAATTGGCAGGATATGATAACTTTGCTTATTTAATTTATTAAGAGTAAAGTCAATACAAATTAACAGTTCAAGATTTTAAAGATTTTTTTTATATAGAAAATGAATCAGATAGATAATTACTTATTGCACATATAATTATTAGTATTAATATATAATAAATTAATTAGTTTGTGATAAGATGATGAATTGTGATTTATGGAGTGTTTAAGGAATAAAAAAGAAATAATAATAATCAGATTTTAATTTAGTGTAATGCACTCTACCATCAAATTAATGTTCGATATTTTGATATTATATATAATTAATTAATATTCATTTACAATAATGATTCCTATCTAAAAAATCAATTATTTCTTAATTTTCATAAATTTAACTTAATTCTTTAATAGTTTTTCCTTTTCTTGTTTTCACATCAACTTTTGCTCCATATTTTAATAAGAGCTTCAATAATTATATATTTTATTTCTTTATAGCTATATGAATAGGATAGAATCCTTTCTAAAAATGATAATTATAATTATAATAGTACTTCATCAGATGAATTTATTAGAGATGGATCGAAAGATTTATCTTAAAATAATATTAATAAACTTTTGATATCACAATTCTAAACAAAATTAAAAAATTATTTTTGTTCTGGTAACAATTCTATTATTTTGTATTTTTCAACTAATTATTCTATATTTGCTTTTGATTCTATTAATCTTGAGGACATATAATCAGTAACATCTTCTATTTCCATACTTTAAATAGATGATTATTTGCAATATTATGGATTTAATATACTAGATTGTCTTTTTAAAGATTAGGTTTTTTTAGCAATTCTCTTTTATGGTTCCATCTTTTAAAGCATATGAAGATATGGTTTAGAAGTTTAACTTTTTAATTTTAAATCATTGATTGAAGGATCAACTAAATAAGTACCATTAAATAATTTTGAAGCATTCATTTTAGTTTTTAAACATTATTTCCTATTAATTATTATATATCATAATACAATTATTCTTCAATCTAATAAAAGTTTAATTCATTTTGATTTAATTTATTTTCTGATTTTTCATTAAAATATGAATTCTTAGGAATTTAATGTGTTTTAATCTTTTTGATTACAAAATTTATTATACTTTTGATAATATTTATTATGCTTATTCAATCCTACTTGTAGAAGGTTATGAATAGAAATCATTTAATATTGAAAGATCCTTATTCTTTAATTTACTCATTTTTACTAAATTCAATTATACTATTCTTTAATCTATGATTCCTGATTTTAAATAATCTTAGAGTGCTTATTTGCTCATTTTATACATGATATTTTCACTAAAATGAAACTTTTTCTTATTTTCATTTTGTATTGATGTATTATTTTCTGTTTTAATACTTTTACTAGTTAATCTTGGTAAAGAATACATTTCTAAGAATATAAATAATTATTTATTATTAGAATATTTTACAATAGAGAATACTTTGAATATTTATCATATTTTCAACAATTAATTTAAATTAATAAGTATACAATTCCTTATCTTTTGTTTGCTAATAAAATAAAATCACAATTATAGATAATTATAATAATATAATAATAAATCTAGGTATAATTATAAAAATATGGGTGTAACATGTTCTAATATGAAAAATCAAAATGTATTTAACATTATGGAACTACCTTATAAGTATAATTATGAAAAAAGATTTAGTATTCATGTGATGGCATATATTTGGTCTGATAATGGACATAATTTATTTGATTATGAAAGTGATTCCCTTGTAAGAAAATCAATTGATTTTGATTTTTAAGGTATTTCTCATAAATATATAAGGAAGAGTCGTTTAATTAGATAGAGATATCTTGGCCTTAACAAAAAATGTAAGATTGCTTACATAATCATTATAAAGGAAGTAGTAAGAAATTAAAGAGAAATCTTTGAGTTTCGTAGTAATTAGAAATATATTGAATTATATAATTCTAAACTTGAAAATGCATTCTGGAAAGTCATTAGACCATAATAGTCATCAGATTTACCAACTCTAGACCGTCAAAAATTAGTGATAAATACAACAATAAAATTAGGAAGAGTTAAATTAACAGTTCTTGATTATAGTTTTGCTTATGAATATGATGATGGTGGAGTTCCTGATGAATTAGATGAAAAAAATAAATTAAATGATAGTGGATGTGTAGAAGGATAAGTGTAATGTAGATTTTGTCTAAGTAAATTGGCAACACTTGAAAATCCTTTTATTAGTCCATGTAAATGTATTGGTTCCATTAAATATATACATTTAAAATGTTTATAAAGTTGGATAAATAGTCAATTAAAAACTAAAGCATAAAATGGAGTAACTCTATATTATTGGAAGAGTATGAAATGTGAATTATGTAAAACAATGTATAAAAGTAATGGATTATTAATTTACTTATTTATAGCTTAATTTAAATTTAAGTCAATACAATATAACATATGTGATATTAATAAACCTAAAGAACCTTATTTATTATTATAAATAAATCACAGTGATAAGAACAAAGAATAAGGATTATATGTAATTGATATAAAAACAAGAGACACTATTAAAATAGGAAGAACATAAGATTGTGATATAAAATTACATGATATCTCAGTATCAAGACATCATGCTAGTATACTAGTTAATCATTAAGAATAATCATTTTATATAGAAGATAATTGTTCAAAATTTGGAACTTTAGTTTTAGCTTAAGAAGAAGATTTGTAGATATAATTGAATTCTCCAAAAAGAGTAGCTTTATAAGTTGGAAGGATAGTAATAGTTGTAACAATAGAAAAAAAAATAAATAAAAAGAAGTAATTATTATGATATGTAAAATGTAGAATAAATAAATATAGAGTACCTGCATAATTTGAAGTTTTTAGATAAATTAAATAACATGAAGATGAAGAAGAAGTATAATCTGCTGATTAATAATAATAATCTGATGATGAAGATATTTTAATTAATGATCCTACATTTGATAGAGATTAAGATATGAGTAAATTTAAAAATATGAACTTTTTAACTGGAAGTATTATTTAAAGAGAGTAATAGTGATTTGTTAACTTATATTAATAATTATTCAAATCTTTTTTTATTATTTTTTCATAGCTATTTTTTTTTTAGCTTTTTTTGATAAATACAATAATTTAACCACAATTTTTAGTGCCATTTATATATTCAAACTAGTTAAAGCGAATTTTATATCCATTTCAGTTACATCTATATATTAAATGTATTCATTCTCTAATGGTTATTTACCAAAATCAGTTAACCAATCATCTAATATAATTTAATCAATTTTATATCTCTTTTCAGGATTCTTCTCTAACATTCCTTAAAGTAATTTAATAATTGATGGATGAAATCCAGTTGCTTAAGGGTAAGGAGGACTTTGAATTTATAATAATTATCATTTACTTATCTTCTAATATTTATTATCTTAATTCCATAGATTTTTAACTTGGAAATGGTAATTTACCATAAACCATCTAATATAAAGTTACTCCTCCTGCCCATATATCAACTGGTTTTCCATCAAAATTTTATCCTTTAATTAAGATTTTACTTTATATTACCTTTAAATACTTCAGGTGCCAAATAAGCTTAAGTACCAGTTTAATTAGATATTCTTCCATCTTATCCATCTTCCATAATATGTGAAACTCCAAAATCAGCAATTTTTAATTAATCTTAAATATTGACTAATAAATTTTCAGGTTTTATATCTCTATGTATAACATTAACACATTCATGTACTTAATTTAATATAATTTTAAATACAATAATCTAATCCTTTAATGAAATCACTAAAGTAATGTCTACATTATTCTTCAGTCAATCTTTAATTAATATTTTTATCTTCAATTTCATCTAAAATATTAGATGTTTATTTATTTTTCTTAAAAAATCCCTTACTTAGAATACTACCCTTTCCCATATATTCCATAACTAAATATAATTTATCTTATTTAGGGTCATCTATTACTTCATACAATTATACAACATTGGTATGTGAGATCTATTAAAAATATTTAATTAAATTGTACTTTTTTCATTATTGCAATTTCTCTTTCTAACATTGTATAAGCATTTGATTTAGATAAAAGTTTCTTTTTTAGTTTTTTTTTGTTTGCTATTTTAATTGCCTAGAAATAATAGAGATATCAATACAAATTATTCTCCTTTAAAATTTTGAGCTTTTTTAACTTTACCAAATGCTCCTTAGCCTAATGATTCAATTACTGTGTATTAATTTATTTATGCCATTCCTTCAACATTAATACTTTTTTCTAGTCGAGATGTCTAAACAACTTCTAATGTGTTCTAAACAGCCAAAGATTTACGTGGTTTAAGTCTTTAGGAATTCAACATTTAAGATTCTTTAATATTGAGATATTTTTCCATTGAAAGTTCAGCTTTCTAGATATAATAAATATAGAGACTTCAATCTTTTAAGATGATCTAATAAAATGTATGAGATTTGTTTGAGCATATTCAATAAATGGTTTCTTTATACCAGGGGATTTAGAAATAACTCCACTAACACGCATTGGAGTTGTATTAACTTTTTTTGGTTTATTACGAATCATTTCAATGAGATTAGTTTAAAACTTGAGTTTATTCTTATGTGACACCATTGTTGTATCGTCTAATCTATTGTTAAATTCACTTTAGTCAGCTTTTACTTTATCATTTTCTAAAGACTTCTCTTAAAATAGAGAAAGCATTCTAGACATTAGAAATTAAACTATACCTAAAGTTATTGATTTGATTGTTAGACTATGCACTTCCCATTTTATTTAACAATTAATTAATCACATTTTACATCCACTTTCTTTAGTTGAAAACCAAATATTACACTTAGTATTTCAAACTACCATACAATTAATCTAAAAAATTACAATCATATTAGAACTACTTAGAAAATTCAATCTAAAGGTACATAGAATGATAAGAATATTATAAATAAAAGAGATGATACATTAATAATTTATTTATATGAATTAATGTCTGATAGTCAATATATAAGAATTAAAAGAATAATATTTAATTTGACAACCTTATATGAAGAATAATCATATAGTGATGTGTTAACAAACGGAAAATATTAGACATTAATTTTCATTTTATGAATAAGGTTCATTATTAACCAACATTAGATCTTGGAGCCTATTATTATTATTAGGGTTTAGGTTATTATGGAATTTATTATGGTTAGAATTACTAAGCATATTATGGAGCATAAGTTGGTGCAAAGGCTTAAGGAACAACTCTGGAAGCCACTAATGGTTATGCATAAGAAACAGGCTATTAAACATATTAGACTGGTTATTGATAAACTTATTATTAATAAACTGGTTATTAATAAACAGGTTATTAGACAACTTAGACTGGTTGTTAAACAACTTAAACTTATTATTAAACCACTTATTAAACAGGTTAAACTTATTAATGGACTACTTATCTTTCAACTGGATAATATTCTACTCTTTCTTAATATCTATCAACAGGCACATATTCTATATTATTATATATTTAAGAATACCTGTATATTTCTCTTAAAACACTTAAGGAACATATTCAGTTTAGTACTCAACAGCATAATAATCTGTCACCTTTCTCTCTCTTGGGACATATTGAACAACCTCTTATTCTTCATATTCTACAACAGCCTTTTAATAAGGAACATACTCAATTCTTGATTCTCCTTTGATTGATTGATGCTAATTTGAATATCATAAAACTATTGTACTTAAACTGATTACACTACTGGTTAGACAGATTATTGAACATATTAAACAGGTTGTTAAACATATTGAACTTATTAAGGAACTGGAGCATATTAAACAGGTTAAATATATGATTATCGGATTGGTGATTATTACAATGGGACAGCATACTATAAATTAAAACATAATTTTTACTTAGGGAATTGGTTGTTATAAGGTTGGTTGACCAAATTTGGGAGCTTAAGTTGCGGCCAAAGGTTAGGCAGGGGTGGCATTGCTATATGGACGATTAGACATCTGATTATTTAAATAATAAAGATATATATATTTATATATTTATTATCAAGTGAAATAAAATGAAATAAAAAATAATCAAATTTATTAATAACATATAATATCGGCAGGAGTATTATTGATATGATTTCAGATATAAGATGGCATTTATATAAACGATAGGTATTATTTTCATTTATTGTATTAAATCTATATGAGTTTTTGAAAAATTTGAATTATATTTCTAACTTAATTAATTATATTCTTATATTATAGAGAAAATGATATTTCTTTACAAATGAAATCCTTAATGTATAAATTATACAATTTAGTCTAGGAAATATAAATTTAATTTTATAAATTTCTTTATGCTTTCTATGTAAACAATTTTTAAGAAACACAAAAAGACATTCATAATAAATATAGTTAATAATCTTTTAGGTTGTAATTCCCTATTTTCCATGATAATTCATATAAATCCATTTATATAAATTATTAATGTTTAAAGAATTAAGATCCTTAATTAATGAAACAAGTGCACAAATTCCTAAAAAGAATATTGCTTAAGTTTAGAAACACAATTAATTAAGACAAATGAATTTGTTATAGAAGAAAATATGTGCTCCCTCAATTCAATATTCTATGTTTCAATCAGATTTTGGTACATTTGAATACTAGATTGTCCCTTAAGAGAGTTCAGATTCAGAATCCATCATATCCTCGTCTTCCTAATACCCTTCCTTACATTTTGTTGCTTCTTTAATCTTTCTAAATGCTTAATATTCTTAGATACCTTGTTCAACTGTTCTAAAGGATAGTTTGATATCAAAATTGATTGTTAAAAACATAGATAAAAATATTGATTTAGTTAAAGTTTAAGAGTTTATTGATACATTACCAATTAATGGATTTGTCTTGGAATTTAAACTTATATATTATTAATCAAATCCTTGTATTATATTTTATTTGAAAACCGACTAACCATTAATAGTCTTTAATTAATTTGTGAATAAATCAAACTCTAAGATTGCTAAAGCAATATTCGGTTACAAGTTTACATGTGCTTAATTGACAAAAAAAATTCCTTAAGAATTTGCTGCTGTAATAATAAGAGGTTTAGATGATAATTTAAATGGAAGTCAAATTGAAAAAATTATCTGTTATACTTTGAATATGAAATAAAAAGAATGTATATTAGAAAGNTTTTTACTTAGGGAATTGGTTGTTATAAGGTTGGTTGACCAAATTTGGGAGCTTAAGTTGCGGCCAAAGGTTAGGCAGGGGTGGCATTGCTATATGGACGATTAGACATCTGATTATTTAAATAATAAAGATATATATATTTATATATTTATTATCAAGTGAAATAAAATGAAATAAAAAATAATCAAATTTATTAATAACATATAATATCGGCAGGAGTATTATTGATATGATTTCAGATATAAGATGGCATTTATATAAACGATAGGTATTATTTTCATTTATTGTATTAAATCTATATGAGTTTTTGAAAAATTTGAATTATATTTCTAACTTAATTAATTATATTCTTATATTATAGAGAAAATGATATTTCTTTACAAATGAAATCCTTAATGTATAAATTATACAATTTAGTCTAGGAAATATAAATTTAATTTTATAAATTTCTTTATGCTTTCTATGTAAACAATTTTTAAGAAACACAAAAAGACATTCATAATAAATATAGTTAATAATCTTTTAGGTTGTAATTCCCTATTTTCCATGATAATTCATATAAATCCATTTATATAAATTATTAATGTTTAAAGAATTAAGATCCTTAATTAATGAAACAAGTGCACAAATTCCTAAAAAGAATATTGCTTAAGTTTAGAAACACAATTAATTAAGACAAATGAATTTGTTATAGAAGAAAATATGTGCTCCCTCAATTCAATATTCTATGTTTCAATCAGATTTTGGTACATTTGAATACTAGATTGTCCCTTAAGAGAGTTCAGATTCAGAATCCATCATATCCTCGTCTTCCTAATACCCTTCCTTACATTTTGTTGCTTCTTTAATCTTTCTAAATGCTTAATATTCTTAGATACCTTGTTCAACTGTTCTAAAGGATAGTTTGATATCAAAATTGATTGTTAAAAACATAGATAAAAATATTGATTTAGTTAAAGTTTAAGAGTTTATTGATACATTACCAATTAATGGATTTGTCTTGGAATTTAAACTTATATATTATTAATCAAATCCTTGTATTATATTTTATTTGAAAACCGACTAACCATTAATAGTCTTTAATTAATTTGTGAATAAATCAAACTCTAAGATTGCTAAAGCAATATTCGGTTACAAGTTTACATGTGCTTAATTGACAAAAAAAATTCCTTAAGAATTTGCTGCTGTAATAATAAGAGGTTTAGATGATAATTTAAATGGAAGTCAAATTGAAAAAATTATCTGTTATACTTTGAATATGAAATAAAAAGAATGTATATTAGAAAGCTCAAAAATAATTATAAAAATTGAAAATGTTGGATGCATGGTATTTGTATTGAAAGATTTGGAATATTGTGAAAGAGTGGTTGTGTCTTTAAATGGAACTTATTTGAATGGATTATAAAAAAATAAAATATTAGTTAATGTTCATCCTGAGTCTGTCAAAATAAGAAAAATTGATCATGAGTGTTCTATCTAGAAAGGATTACTGTAGGTAATTTATTAATTTAATATAGAAATATATAAAAATTAATGAAAAGAATATGAAATGAAAATTAATTAAATTATTTATTATATTTTAGACTTTCTCATCAAAAGTAAGTCAAAATAATAACAAATACAACTAGAAGTAATTTTTCTATATCTTTTGAATCCAATTTATTATTTATTTATTTATAATATTATATAATATAAATATGACAGCTAAAGATGTTATTATGAAAATGAATAAAGAAGCTGAATATAATGCACTTACAGCTGAATTTTAAGGAAATGATACTAAATTTGTTGGAGAATATGAAAATGTGAGAATTCCATTTGAAAAGAAAGAAGCTATTAAAGATGCATTTAGAAAAGCATCAAAAGCATGTTAACCTACATTAAAGAAGTAAAATAATATTATAAAAATAGTCTTTCATTGAGATAAAATTGGTTAGATTTATAGGATAGAATATACAATAGAGCATAATACTACACAAGTATTAAATTGTGATCTATGATTCTTAGCTGATGCAAATTCTTGTATTAGTGATGCAAGAAATATTGCTGAAGTTAATGTTTGTTGTGATAATTATATCCAAAGATTAAATAATGACTTTTACAACGATATTTTACAAATATTAAAGGATTATTGAAATATTAACAATTATAAAAAATATGTAAATAGTAATATGTTTTATTTTCTGTTAGAATAATTAATTAATTAATATGTTTTTCGATAAAGATAGAATCATAAAATTGATGCAAACGAATTAAATAGCATCTCCATTATCCTTTAAATTAGATTCTCCTAGAATATATCCAAATACACCTAATTCATAATCAAAATTAACTTGCGATCTTACTTCAAGAAGCAAACTTAAATTGAACTTTTTAGCAGAATTATCAGATAATCGATCTTTGACAAATCGTTATATGTTGAATACCAAAAATAAATCCAAATAATCAAAAATATTATATAGTAAAGAGAATAAGTTAGTTGAGTCATCACTTAAAAAAAGCTAATTATATCCATCAACTGATTTATTACTTCAAAATATTAATATTTAATCTCCTACTTCTACTTTTAATGAAGAATTCATGAAAATCAATTCAAAATTCAATTCTGTTAAAAAAGAAGATAATCATGATCAATGTATATAGAGAAAATAGAGTAATTCAGTAATTTAATTAATGAATAGAGATGTATCTTAAATTGAGGGTTATCATAATAAGTATTCACTAATATTGAAAGATATTATAGTTCTATAATGAGATCTACAGAAAGAATTAGATAACAATATAATGAAATTACACTTTTGGATTTGAAAAGTTAGAATATTTATTTATAAGTAAGAAATTTCTATTAACATTCTAAAGTAAGAAAATGTCACTCTGAAATCTCAATTGTAATCTGTTCAAGATAATATCAAAAATTAAAATAAAGAAATTGCAAAGTTAAAATCTAATATTTAATAACTTGAATAGTAATATATATTTTAATACTAAAGATAGATTCAACATCCAATTAAAAGAGAAGAATTAGAAATCAATATCCACTATTGAAAATCTTAATTCTTAGTTAGAATTTGAAAGGTCAATCTAAGATGATCTTAAAAAAAGTGTCAATGATAATTAACAAGAACTAAAGAAATATACTCTAGTAATTACATTAATTCTATATAGATTGAATAGGAAATTAAGAAAATTGAGGATTCTCATTTAGAAAGTATAACTAAAATAAATAAAGAACTCAAAGCATAACAAGTTTCACTTAACATTCTTAATCATCATATTACTTGTCTATCCTAAATTTCAATTCTATTATCTTAAAAAGAAGAAATTCCTATTGATATTTTATTTAAATATAAGTAAATCCCATAAATTCCTCTAATTCTATTGGATTAAGATTTAATTGAAAATATTCTTAAATCTAATTCAAAAATGATAAAGGAATTATATGATTTAATAGTAAAATCCTTTGAAAAAATATCATACAACTTTGTATAAGAACTTTCATAAAATTTGCATAAGTGATAAACATATGAATATTATACTGTTTATTATATAAGATAGACTTAAAAAATCTCTGTATAGAAAAATAAAAATGAATATTTATTTAATGTTCAACATCATTCTCCTTGTTATTTATCATCTTACTCTAAATTTTTTAGTTAGTTCGATTACTAAATTTAATCTTATTGTAAACATTCCTAAAAATGATATTCTAATATACAAATTATTATTATTATTGTTAATTATGAGTTTGTAAAATAAAATTGCCTAACAAATCATTTTAAAGTTTCTTAAAAAATTCAAGTACATTTTTTGCTTTCTTAGCAGAGACTTCATAAAACTAAGCACCTAGTTCCTAGAAATTTAAGATAAATTCAAAATACTTTAGCTTTAGCTTATGCTTGTTCTTTTGAGATTCTTCTCTCTTGTTCCAAATCAATTTTATTTCCCAATATGTAAATAAAAACATCATTTCCTATTTCTTCTTAAACATTTTAGACCCATCTTGATAGGGTTTGGAAGGATTGTTCATCTTTTTATCTAAAAGTGAAGATTACTTGTAATATCATAACAAATGATGGCAGCTTGTGCAGATCTAATGTAATTAGGAATTAGTGCTCTAAATTTTTCTTATCCAGATGTATCCCAAAAACAAAATTTTACAAATGTATTTGTGTTATCGATTTCAACTTTTTTTAAAAAAAAGTCAATTCCAATAGTTGGCTAGGTTAGTTTAAATATATATTGATACCTATTCATGATCATCGAAACTTTCAACAATATATCTTTTAATAATAGAAGATTTTCCAGTAAGGTGTTCTCCGAGAATAACTATGCTACATTTCTCTCTAGGTTCATTTGTTGTATTTTGTGCCATTTTATACAAATAATTTTCTAATAATTTGATTATTGATTTTAAAAGTTGATATTTTTAATTTAAAGTTTAAATTGTTTGTTTGGAGAGTCTGAATAAACAAAGAGAATAAAAATATAATATTAACAAAATTAGTTAAAAATAATATAGAAGGTTTAACAATAAATTAAATAAATCTGTTAAATATGTTTCATAGTTATTAAACACCAAAGTAAACTTATAAGCAACAACCACAAAAAATATACTAGCAGATTCACTAAAAGACTCTTCCTTGTAAATCTTTATCACCTCCTTAATTTGGTCATCAAAAAAACGGAATAATTGAATCAGATGAATAAAATCCATCCACTCCTCAAAAGATGAATTTTTCTAAAGGACTTAAATTACTTAATGTACCTTCATTAGGAAATGAGAATAGTTTTAGAGGAAGCAATTAAAAGAATCAATTAGTCTCTGATAGTCCATTGGTGTCAAATAATAAAGAGAATGGGGCATCAAGTAGAAGACTATAAACTGACACTATATCCATGGATTTGAACTCTCAAGTTGTCATATAAGAGAATAGGAAATTAAATGAAATGATTCAAAGATTATTCAAGGAGAAATAAGAATTAGTTACAATAATAGATAAATAAAAGAATATATAATGTATAATGAATAATTAAGGAGGAGACAATTTAAATTTGAATAATTTAAAGGAGAGAATAGAGAGATTAGAAGGAGTCATTGATTTATAGAGTGAAGAAATACTATAATGGAAACAGAAATATAAATAAGCATGTGAATAAGATGAGAGAGCATATGCAATAGAATAAATGGTATTTATATTAATTTATTAATTAGGAATCATAGATTATGAAAGTTGTAGAGGAGAATGAGAGATTAAATAATTTAGGCAATGATAAAGATAAGTAAATATAAGATTTAAGCAATGAAATAATAATATTGCAGAAAAGATTATTTGAATAAGAATAAAAAATGAAGGATTAATCAAATTTAATTATCGCTTATGAAGAAGATACAAAAGAACTGAAGAGACAATATAAACAGAAATTAAATTTGATTGAGAAACTAGAGTAATAGTAATAATTACAATAAATACATTAATTACAGTAATAATAGAATTATAGTGAAATATCTTCACATTCTTCATTTCATGAAAATAGGGATCACTCTTAAATTATTTTAGAATAGATTCAGTTTTTAGAACAAACGTTATCTGAATTATCTACACAATACACTTCATAAACATTAGAAAATTAGCGGTTGTTGAGACAAAATAATAATTTAAAAGAGGAACTAATATTGCAGTAAAAAGCTTTGGATGAAATACGTAATTGTAATAAAGGAGCAGTTAATCCTAAATTTCAAGATGCTAATAAGAGTTTAAAGTTAATAAGAGATAAGATTGCTAAGTCATAATAGAAATGAATATATATATTTATAAAATGAGATATCCTAGATTGAAATGGGTCCTCTTTTGTTTGCCTTTTTTATTTTTTTAAATAAAATGATTTAAAAGAAAGTTTTAAGCAGCAGCGATGAGAGCAGTGAAGATGAACATGTTGAAGAATTATAAGATAAATAAAAGTTGATATAGGCTAAAGCTAATAAACCAACAAGAACTTCTGTGAGTGCTGAAGTTTATGGATAATTTAATAAGAAAGTATTTAATCATCTTGATTAAAGGGTCAATACTAAGCTAAGAAAGTTAATAAAAGTGAAGATGCTATTAAAAGAATTAAGCAAAGAATGAGCTAAGCATTTATGTTTAGTGCCTTAGATGAACATGAATTAGCTATTGTTATTGATGCAATGGAAGAGAAGAAATTTAAGTATCCATTTCTTTATATTTTTGTTAGAGCTGGCGATTTTGTGATCAAACAAGGTGATGATGGTGATGTACTTTACGTTGTTGATTAAGGATAACTTGACTGTTTCAAAGTATTCAAAAAGGGAGAACCTGAAAAACATTTGGTATAGATTTATTTCAATCCTTTTTATAGAAAGTATATCAACCTGGAGAATCTTTTGGTGAATTGGCTTTATTATACAATGTACCAAGAGCAGCAACAATTAAAGCCAAAACTGATGCAATTTGCTTCTCATTAGACAGAGAAACATTCAATCATATAGTCAAGGATGCTGCTGCTAAAAAGAGAGAAAAATATGAAGAATTTCTTAGCAAAGTTGAATTATTGAAAGGTATCTATTTTAATTAACAACTACCTTAGATATGGATCCATATGAAAGATTGCAAATTGCTGATGCTTTGAAGGTCGAAAAATTCAACAAGAAAGACTACATCATTAGATAAGGAGAATAAGGAAATACATTTTATTTCATTCAAAAGGGTGATTGTATAGCTACTAAAACTGAAAATGGTAAATCTCTAATGATATTCCATCTTAGGCATTGAGAAAGAAGTCTACAGTTATAAAGTAGGAGATTATTTTGGAGAATTAGCTTTAATTAAACATGAGCCAAGAGCTGCAAATATTGTTGCATAAGTAAATATCATATAAATCTCAAGAGTGAAGTTATAGTAGTATATTTGGATAGTGACAGTTTCAGAAGATTGATTGGACCTGTTGATGAAATTTTAAAGAGAAATATGAGTAGATATGAAAAATATGTAAAAAAATGAGAAGATATTACATATATATTTATTTGCAAAATAATTTATCTTAATATTTATTTATATTATACTAAAAATTATAATATTATAAATTTTTTAATTAATAAATTTATGTAAAACCTTTCAATATATACATTTTCTAATATAATCAAGTTCCTTTAAGTTGAGGAAATATACTCCAAATTAACAATCTCTAAACTACTTATGTAAATATATATTTAATTAACATATAGTTAATAATTATACCATCCTCATGTCTAAAAGGTGATACTTTCTAATTATTTCCCTTCTAAAATAGTCTAATAAATTGATCCCTAGAAATATATTTAATGCATAAAATCATTAAAAGGTTGTAAAATAAAGGAGATACCATTTTGGGGAATAGAGACAAACGGAGGATTATCAAATAATAGTTTAAGATTTTGGATTGGAAAAACTTTCATGAAAACTAATCAGCCTTAGGTAGGTATAAGGAAATTGGAAAATTCTTTCTTATCAGGAACTTTAGCTTTTAATCAAATTAGTTTCAAGAAAGCCTTACTGGAATATGCTAAAAACTTCATAGACTTCATGGGGTAAGAAATTACATATCATTTTTTTCCTGATTGGGATGAAATTGAAGATAACTAGATTGATATGTCAAAAATAAGAATATTTGATATCTTCAGAAGTTTCTAAATATTTTCATATTATTATGATGAGTAAGATTGGAATTGTTTAAAATATTTAAGAGATTATGCTTATGTAAAACACGAGTAGATAGATTAAATGTTGGAGATTGATCCATATAATTTAAAGGATTAGGATCATTAAATGTAAATTTTTAAATATAATTTTGTTTAGTATACCTTAAGGGATATCTTTAGTATAAGAAATATCAATAAATAGAAGAACTCAAATGACCTAAATAATAAAATCAATCCTTATATTTACAAGTATATAATAATACATTCCAAATTATCCTGATGAAATTTATAATTGTTAAACTCCAGAAAAACTATATTACTATATTTTATAACATCCTTAATTTATGCCTTCATAAACAAATATTAGTTTATTAAAAAATATGAATCCTAATATTATCTACGAAGATGAACATTAATTAGATTATTGGTATTGTACATTTATCCCAATTGATGATAAACAACCATTAATTTGGGCATAATTTGTAAATCCAAATTTTGATGAAATTAATTTAAAATTTGATAAATAAACACAACGATTAGCTAAATCAATTCAAGTGAGAATATTAGATGCCTGTTATTAAGAAAATCCATACTTTAATGGAATTGGTATAGCATATGTTAGTTGCAAAGGGTTAACATTGAATGAAGTAAATTGGACTATAATTAAAGAACTTCCAGATTGAATTATTATTTTAATTTATAATGAAAATTTTATTCGTTTTGCTACTCTTAATAATAATAAAATCTGAAATGCTATTAGTATCTTAGGATAATGAATTTATTGATGATGATAATGATTTTGTTGGTGGAGTATTTCCAACAACAGATTCAAATTCTGATGTACAAATTAATATAAATAAGACCTATAATAAAGCACTTTAATATGCATAAGAACATTATGCTGAAAGTTGTAAATTGAGTGATCTTTAGTGGGAAAGCTTAGATGGTTCAAAAAATTAAATGGTATAAGGAATGTTATATTATGTATATTTTTTATAAAATATTAGTTCAATGTAACTCTTAAAGGGAAGGAGAGATAAGAGAAATATGAGATTTAAGTATGGATATAGGCTAATAAAGAATAAACTGCAGAAATCACTTAATGTAAACAATTATGAATAGTAATATTTTGATTGAAAATATATTTATATTCAACAGATATTTTATGATCTTTTCTTTCTTTAAAAGATATCCATACTGATTTGAATGATGCTGTTTTGACTATTTTATTTATGAATTGAGTTGTTATTGAATTTTAATGCTGATGATTAACGAATTGGTTTTATTTTTTATGAATGTGAGAATGTATTTTCTAAGAACTTGCCTTGCTAAGAGAATTAAGATTGTGATTATTTAAGAGGTGATTATTATGAAGGAATGTTTATATAAGGATTTTATGAACTTATTGGTCTGACTATTTCTTGTAATGGATATCTAACAGATGATTTTTTGACAAGTTTTTCAATTTAACCACAATTATTTCCACAATGGGGAGACTCATAAAGTCTATCAACGACACTCTAATTAATTCTTTTTTGGGAATTGATATTTTGAATGAAAGGACGATCTTGCATCATTTCTTTATAGATGGATTCTTTTAGTTTCATCCTTTTTTCTTCATACTTTTTGGCATACTTTAGAAGTCTATTCTCTACCTTTGGTTTGGAAGGTTCAAGGATTTCTTCAGGTTCCTAGTAGGAATAATTACTTAATT